TTGCAAAAGTCAGTCAGTCAACAGGCATTTATGGAGTGCCTAAAAAAAGCATTTCACATCAATCAACCAACGTGCTATAAGTCAATACTATAATCACTCAAATGTCACCAATAAATACGGCATTCCTCAAATGAAAGTTTTTCAGAAACATGCAGATGGTGAAAATACACACAAGTCAATGTGACCACAAGGCCAGATTATCCTTAATGATGAACATTTAGCAGATGCCTAAATGCCTTTATGTCTCTTTGTCTATCTGTCTGTATGTCTACCTACCTACCAACCTACCTACCTCTCGAACACACACACACACACACAGACAAAACACATATGTTTCTAAGTAAAATATTTTCAGGGGATCAAGCCATTCATTTTTGGATGGAACACCCAGCACAGTGATATGACCACAGTAAGTAATTCACCAAGAAACATTTGCTGAACTAAGAAGTACTATGAGCTGGAGCCTACAGCACTAAAAAAGCACTCTAACATTAAGGGCCTCTTAGTTAAACAGAGACCAGAATGCTGAATTATATGCAGATCCCTGGGTGCATTATACTCTTAGTTAAGGGCCTTTTAACATGCTATTCCATCTGACTGGAATGCTCTCTCCAACTCCTTTACCAAATTAACTCATACCAACACCTCGTGTCACCTTCTCCAAGGCACCTCTCATCCCCATACCATGAATTAGATGTGCTGTTTACATATTTTCATATCATTTGGTACTTTCCTCTAGGATGATGCATAATAGCATTCAAATTAGCTACTGTATCATGATATCCTCGAAGACAAGGCTGTATCTTATCCACTGGTCTTCAGTTCCCAGCTTGGAGCCTGGCTCACAGTAGAAAGAAAATGCTATGGGAGCTAGAAGATGAAAAGTCTAATGTTGTGTGCTAGAAGCATTTGAAAAATGAATTTTCTGCAGTGCTGGAACTCTCAATGAATGCACTATTCAGAACCATTTTCCTGATTTCCACAGTTGACAAAACACCCTTCAGTAATACTCAGATTAGTTCAGAATGCAGAAATCAATGTTTCCCTTAAATGGAAACATAGATTGGATGTATAATTCTTGGTGGATAGTAGTGAAAACATGAGTAATGTAAGGCTCATGGCCCAGTAAGAAATTAAGCTTCCCAAATCAGCAATATTCTATTGTATATGAACAGCATTACTGGCAGACTCCTGCCAGCCCTTACCCCTTAGGGATTTGGGGACCAAGGGAATCCACACTAAACTAGGCTGCATCTGTTCCGGTTCTGGTTGGCCAAGCTCACTCTAATAAGATTCTCTATCCTTGATTAAATAAATTGAGAATTTATCTATCATGTTGTGTTGTGCTGTGTGTGTGTGTGATCTCTATCTACCACACTTGAAATGACACAGAAAGTCACAAAAAGCTGTATAAAGAAAATAACATTTGAAAAAGGAATTTTGTATAAGGGTAGAATTTTGTCCTCTGTGGGAGTCGATGTAAGAGCCTTTAAAGTATAGGGGAAATGTCCAAACCTATAGTGGTGTTCAGAAAAAGAGAGAAAAAATGTCTGGAGCATAAAATGATTTTGGACTGGTAGGTGGAGAATGCTGGAAGGTAAGACTGGAGAGGTGAGTTCACCCTTGACATTGAATGGCCTTGAAAGCCAAGTCAAAGAGTAAATGTTAGCAGGAAAAGTATAAAGTGCCTAAAAACACACATAGGATATTTATTTGGTAAATTAATTAATATTGAAAAGTCATTCAGGGCTAAGACTGTTTTGCTGATTTGATTTAATTAACTGCCCCTCACTGTTCATCTTCCCCAGAGCACTGTTCTTGCCATTTTCTGATGCTGAAATGTACATGAGAAATTTCACAATAATATGAAATCACTCAGAACCACTTTACTCATGAAAAAAAATCAAAATTCTCACTTATTAAATACCTCTAATATTTTTTATTTTGTTTCCGAGATTATCATTCCTATATTAGACTTACTGTTGTTTATATCTGTCTCTTGTGCTAGAATACAAACCCCATAAGCAAGAGAGGACAGGTCTGATTTCTAACAACAGCCAAAATGAAACTAATGATAATGGATCATAGCTACGCAACATGTATGCGTGACAGGCACATTGCTAAGCACATTACAATGATTTACTCATTCAGTATTTTGGGATAATGAAGATGCAACATAGAGAGGCACAAGGTCATCTATATTTATGAGCCAAAATTATCAACCAAAAATTCTGGGTCCAGAGTCCTGGCTCTTAAACAGAAGCAATAGTGTTCCTTTATCAAAACCAAGGACGAGATTTTGTATATATTACAATTAAAAAACAACAATAACATTCTCTATTTACCCACAGTCTTAATCTCAAGTATTTAACCAATTAATTTATTAAATCAACAAATATTTGTTAAGGTATTCTATATTCCAAGCACTTTCTGTTTGCTAAGGATTCAGTAGTAAACCTTACAGTCGTGAGAGATTACTTAGCTACAAAATATCACTTACAATAAACTCATACTCATTTATAGTAGATATCAACATCCAAATTAGGTCTGTAGTCATAATTTTTAATAATAAATGTAAATCTGAAACAGTGCTGATTATTTCAGGGAATTCATATACCATTTGGGCTTTTTATTGATATATGGCATTATCAAGAAAGCACATTTCTGTAAGAACTGTATGGTTGGGAAATTTTAACAAGTTACTTTAGCTAAATGATTTTCTTGTTCATCAGGGTTTGTATACCCAAAAGAATATCTAAACCAGTTAGAAATTCTTACACTTGCAAGAGGGAGTAATTTTAGACCCCCGGAGCAAGCCTTTGCTACAACCATTCTTGACATCTGAATTTGTGTCATAACTGTTTGGGAAATAGCTGCTTACCTATAAAAGTTAAATGCACTCCTTTGTCCTTATAAAGTATTTGAATCATATATGTCAGTCACTTTCTCATGTTTCCAGTTCAGTACCACAAATGAGCCATTCCTTTTCTCCTGGTTTAGCATACAGATTTATATATTCCTTATGAATTCCTTATTGTGGTGGTAAATGAAGTACAGAAATACCAGTACTAAAAATGGTTGTACTTTTGAGATGTGAGAGGTGAAGGTCTTAAAACCCAAGGCTGCTCCTTTGGACCCCTTAAACAGCTCTACAATTTCACCAACATGGCTAGTTAACAACTCTTTCTTCCCAGACTAAATTTCATAAGATCTTTTATAGCTTTGTCCTGTAGTCTCCTATATTATGGTTCTCTCTAATATGACTGCCAATCACATAGTGTCTAGTTAAGATAACAAACACATGTATCAACTATTTTCCAAAAAAGATGTTTTGTTATATCTTATACACTTTATTTTTAAAATAACATTAATATTAAGATGTATCAAACAACCAAACATATCATCCAATGCCCAGAGTCTCCACTTTACAGATAGCATATTCACATAAAAATAATCCTGTTTGTACACAATGATTTAGTCCCTCACTTTGCAACTCCTGCATTTTCTATTTATTGATTTTTTAATTTTCTTTTTCCTTTCATTCATTCTATATTTCATTATTTTTTTATATATTTTTTATGTTTTCATGAGCCATTAAAAAAAATTTCAGGACAATTTTATTGCCGAATGTTCTCAACTGATACTTAGAATGTAGGTTGAGATAATTGTTCAACATTATCATATTTGCCTGCGGTGATATCAGACAGCATTGTCTCACTTGCAAAATGAATAGTTTAAAAAGAAATGCTATGGGAACAAATGAACTTTATTATAAAATGGTAACAAGTATTAAGTTCTATAGAATATTCTGTGTTCTAGTTCAACTCCTAAAATTTCCTCTTGTATTCTAAAGAAGGTGATTTAAAATGTATTGCTAAGATATGTAAAATAAAAATATCCCATATAAACATTAATATAAATTCCAGTTTCTAAATCCTAATTAAAAATTATATGTAATTTTATTTCCAATGATTCTCTCAAGATATCTTACATTATTTATTGAAGTAATAGAGAGATGCAAGCACCAACAATTCCTCTGTAATAATCACTGTAATTTATTAAGTCAAGAATAAAACTACTCTTATTGTATTGCTTCTCAGCTAAGTTACATAGGTCCCTAAGGAGGAGACATCCTCACAACATCTAACTTGTTAGGAAAGAAACTAGACTTCCATTGTTAGGAAAGAAACTAGGTTCATGATAAAACCTGTGACTTTGCAATTATGGTTATTTCAACTTGGATATTACATGGCTACCAACAAAAAATACCATCAGTCATTAAAAGTATTAAATAAACTCTCAAAAAATACTTAGTTTTAAATGAACTAATTTTATCCCAGATAAAATTAAACTTGATTATTAAATGTGCATGCCACAATATTGGGAAATATAATATTTTCAAGAATTTATTAATAAAATATAACAAGTTATGTAATATAACAAAAGTTAAATATAATATAACAAGAGTTTATTACTTTGATGCATAAAAGAAATTAAATACTTCATCCCATTGAAATTCTACAACAAAAATTGAACCATTTATTTTCATATTTCTAAGCCATATATGGGAAAGAAGAATTTCAGAGATGTTCCATAGTTTTCATGAAGTGCTATGAATTTTTTTAAAGACATAAAATCTAAGAAAATTAGCAATTTTCTGTTCATAGAAATTAGCAATCCAAAGTTCCTCTCAAGTTAGTTTCTCTATTTCTCTTTATTTATATGGACTCTTGCTTTCCTTTAAAATGTAACTCATGACAGTACAAACATAGAGTTTTCTCCAAATCAATTAATTCCCTTATTTTGCGACTTTGCCGATTCAACTATTTCACCTTTCATGTCATTCAGTGAGGGAATATAAAAGGTAAAATATTTTTCTAGGTACTTCACCTACAAGAATAGAATATTCCAATCCCTGTAAGTCATAGTTTTGAAAGTCAGGGAGACAGACAGTCTACTTTTAAAAAATGTATCATATTAAGAAATGGGATGTCACTTACCAGTGAGTTTACATCTTAGTACCCACCTCCAAACAAAATCGACACTGAAAGAATAAAAAAAAAAAGAATAATTAAAATATAAAAATAAAAAATATAAAAACTGAGTATTTTTCATAGTAAACATAGAAATCATATTGTAGGAGCTACATTAACACAGCTTCTATTTAAATACATGGTATTTAGACAAAATGCATTTTGTTGACAATAATAAACCTGTACAATGGATATTAAAAGTTCATAGCAAGGAAGTAAATTCAGTCAATTCTTTAGGGATCAACTATGGTTAAAATGCATTAAGAATAAAAATAGTTCCAGTTAGATAGAGTCTATGCCTGTAGTTGTTTAAACAGATATCATAAAAATGGAGATGGTCATATTTGTTTAGCCTTTTTTTATAATACGGGATTGGCAAACTTCTCTAAAGGGACAGTAAATATTTTAGGCTTACAGGCATGCAGTTTCTCAAATACTCTACTCTATTTAAACAAATAGATACGGCTGTGCTCCAATTAAACTTTATTCACAGAAATCAGCAGGTTGGTAAGAATTTGGGCCAGACAAGAGTTTGCTGAGTTCTGATTAACATACTGAGAGTTCCAACTCAGAAATATCAATCCTAGCATGTGGCAGACAATGAAATATGGAAAATCACAGGGGCTGAATAATCAGTGCCCTTAGCATCAGAATAAGCTATGTGATTTAAATCACCCTATAAAAACCCATGGCATTCTCAGCTCCAGAATTATGATAGATGAGACTCAAAGAGAGTAATTGTTTTTAATATTTATGTTAAATATTAAAAATATATTGCACATAGAAAGTCATTATAAAAATGTGATGGTATATAGGAAAGCTCATATTTTTAAAAGAATGAAACCAATTATTTTATTTTTATTTATGCTTTAAAAAAAATATGCTAAGTAATAGCAAGATTTCTGGGAGCTAACTGTTACCTATAGATCAGGGTGTTCAAATAGTAAATGAGAAAGAACCACAGCGTGGAATTAGCTAGAGAGATTCATCAGGCCAGCTTTCTAACCTGCGGGAAATGAGTTGAAAGGATGAGACTAGAAAGTATTGTTCCAGAGAAGGGTCTGCTGTCAGTCTGGAAGGCCGCAGTGAGAGCCTCCCTGAAACTATTTCATTAGTTGATCATTAGTTAACAAATATGTAATGTTGCTAGAAACAAAGGGGCAGACTGAATTGCCAACACACTCAGCTATCCAGAAAAATAGGAACTGTACCCTTTTTGGAAATACCAAATCAACTCAAAACTAGGAAACAGATTATGCAGAGGAGAAACAATTGCATTTGTGGCAGAAGGGGTCGGTAACAAGAATTCTTGCCATTATTTCAGTTATAACCGTGACTTACACATTTTTGAATTTTTAAAGCGGCTCTGTGTGGAAGACCTCAAAGTGCATTTCCATGTTGAGTGAACACCTACCCCCACACCCGCACAACCATACACCCACTCCAAGTGGGGATTTTCCATTGCGAATGATTGGCTTGTTCTGGTAACTTTAGCTTTAAGCTCAAAGAATGGACCTACTTGTCAGAACAAAGAAGCATTAAGAAAGCATCTTTAACAAATATAAAAAGTGAACTTCTTGTTCTCTTCATCCATATGACGCCCAGTTATGGGCTCGATGAGTCCTTTCAAAATTTGTATGTTGGATTCCTAATCCCCAGCACCTCAGACTGTATTTGGAGATAGGGCCTTTATAGAAATAATTAACACTAAATGATGCTATTAGAGAGAATCCTATTCCAAGATGACTGGTCTCCTTATTACAAAAAAAAAAAAAAAAATCAGAGACACATATGAGCGCACACAGAAGAAAGACCATGTGAAGTCACAGGGATAACACAGCCACCTACAAACCAAGGATAGAAGCTTCAGAAAAAAAACCAACCCTGCCAACAGCTCGATCTCAGGCTTCTTGCCCAAGAATGGTGAGAAAATGCATTCCTGTCGTTTAAGAAACCCAGTCTGTGTATGGCAGACCCACCAAACTAACACTGCCTCTCTCCCATGACCACCTATAACACCAATCAAGGAATGGTAGCAGCAAAGCAGACTTTCTCTGCTGCCTGAGATCTAGCTGAAGCCAGCCTACCCCTCCTCCCAGCTACAGTGACTGCTAGCAATTAGAGAAGCAATCGTATCGCATGCTTAGAGTGAAACAAGAGTAAGCGGCTGCAGGTGGCGAGGGGAAGGAGGAAGCTTCATTGCGAATGGCAGTTCTCTATTTTAAGTGAAGTTATAAATGGATCCAGAAAATGTAGTCGGAATTCATGTGGTCAGAAACTATATATTGTCTCTCGTCCGGCATATTCCCAGTTCTTGGCTACACTCCAGAGGCCAGATGTTGGAATTCCAATTAACCATGAAACTGTCAAAAATGAAAGTTGTTTCATGAGACCCTGACAGTCTGCTCATCATTTCAGAGAAAACTGAGGCTGTTAAACATTAATTTCTCCAAGTCATAGAAGTGATGATTTGTAGATCGTGCATTCATCATAAAATCACATTGGTCTCTTTTCGAAGCTTATACACTGTGAAAACCCTGCCTCAGTGGGCAGTTCATTCATTCATTCAACAAATGTTTACAGATGGCTTGCTAGGTTCCAGACACACGTCTTGCTGTCTGGGATACAGCAGTGAACACAGAGACTAAACCTGCCTCTTTGAGTTTATACTCTGACATCGGGTGATGGACAATAAACAATAATCTCTTCCACCATAGATGTGTGGCATGATGAGCTTTGAAGAAAGGCAAACCTGGGGTTTATTTCAGGCCCTACTATGCAGGAAGCATCTCTTTCAACAAACTAGTGTGGTGGTTAGGAGTTCAGGTCTGGAGTCTTACGATCTTTCATGTGCATGCTGGATCTTTCCCTTTCTGAGTAACTCTGAGCAATTTACTTTGACCCTCTAATCCTCAGGATCCCCATTACATAATTAGCATAATAGACATAATTAAAAGAGATAGATAGAGAAAGAGGTGAAGGAGGGGAAAAGGGAGACGTTATTACATCTGTTAAGACATATTAAGTAGTATCAGCTTGATGTCAAACAATAGCAAGTGTGACACAGAGAATTAATGGCTCAAATTCTTCCTTCCCTCCTGTAGTCAAGCCCTGTACCCTATAATTTTGCAGTAGCTCCTTCTAAAGAGTGAAAGTACATCCCTAAACTTTGGTTGAGCCCTGAGACTTACTTCGTCCTGTAGAATAAGGTAGAAATGACTGAGGATTCCAAGCCTCGTCCTTAAGAGGCCTTAGACATCCCTGCTTTTCCATCTGTCCTAGCCTTGGATTGCCCAGGAGACGAGAGCTGGGTGGGCAGAGCCACTTCTGCTGACCCTACCACCTGCTCCTGGAAGCCGAACAGCCCGGCTACCTGGCCCCGAAGCAGAGCTGCCCACCCGAGCCCAGAGGAGCCCAAACCAACTGGAAGACATGTAAGTGAGAACAAACAGTTGGGGTTTTCAGTCACTGACTTTGAGGATGCTTTGTTGCACAGCAATAGCTCAGTAATACAATAGGCATTAAATATTCTGGGTATATTTCCTTAGCATATTGATTAAAACAAAACAAAAACAAATAACCTTTACAACCCACCCTCCCCCAAAAAGCAAAGGAACCTATGTGATTGAATCACCTCTCTGCTTTATAGCTTTTAATGCTTTAACGCTGAGAACAGATTGAGAGTTAAGACACAGGTCAAATTCTACAAAACAGAATGCCAAGTATCACAGTAAGCCATCCCAAGAGTTACTTAACTCCTCCCTCTTTAAGTTACAGAATTCCTTCTTAGGGAGTTTGGTAAGAGCTAGAAAGTTTTAAATGGGATTACAAGCCAGAGCAGTGAGTTTGAGCAATATCCTTGACTATAACACAGCTCTCTTTCTCTCTCTTTTTTTCCCCAATTGAGTTTATTGTGGTGACACTGGTTAAAAAAACCATACAGGTTTCAAGTGTACAATTCTATAGTAGGTCATCTGCACACTGCATCGGGCACTCACCACCCAAGTCTCTTTTGCCACCACATGTCCCTTTCCCTCTCGTAATTACCATATGGTGGTATCTTTGTGGTTTTTAATTCTTCTATGTATTTTTTTCATTCTTCCCTTCACTTTTTCACCCAGCCCCAACCCCTCTCCCCTTTGACAGCTGTCAGTCCATTCACTGTATCTATGAGTCTGTTTCTATTGTGTTTGCTAGTTTATTTTGTTCATTACATTCCACATATAAGTGAAATCCTATGATATTTGTCTTTCTCTGACTGGTTTACTTCACTTAGCATAATACCCTCTAGGTCTATCCATGCTGTAGCAAAAGGTAACATTTTCTTTTTTATGGCCAAGTAGTATTCCATTGTGTAAAATGCACTGCAGCTTTTTATTTATTCATCTAATGATGGGCACTTGGGCTGCTTCCAGACTTTAACTATTGTAGATAACCTTGCAATGAACATAGGGGTGCATATATTCTTTCAAAATAGTGTTGCAGGTGTCTTTGGATATATACTCAGAAGTGGAATTGCTGGGTGGTAAGGCAGCTCCATTTTTAATGTTTAGAGGAATCTCCATACTGTTTTCTACGGTGGGTGAACCAACTTGCATTCCCACCAGCAGTGCACATGGGTTTCCTTTGCTCCACATCCTGGCCAGCACTTGTTTGTTGATTTATTGATGATAGACATTCTGACAGGGGTGAGGTAACATCTCATTGTGGCAACCTGGGTATGTGCCCTGACAAGGAATCAAACCTGCTGCCTTCTGGTGTACAGGACAGCCCTGCAACCAACTGAGCCACACTGGCCAGGGCTCATTGTGGGTTTAATTTGCATTTCTCTGAGGGTTAGTGACTTTGAGCATCTTTTCATATGTCTATTGGCCATGTCTATGTCCTCTTTGGGGAAGTTTCTATTCAGGTCCTTTGCCCATTTTTCAATTGGGTTGTTTGTTTTCTTGGTGTTGAGTTGTGTAAGTTCTTTATAAATTTTGGAAATTAACCCCTTATCAGATGTATCATTGG